CAACCATCACAACCACCGCCACCATCACCTTGCTCTGGAACCCAATACGTCCAGATCTCCAGCCTTTTTGTTTCTACACCTCTGGACTTTATATATATATATATACACACTCTATGATACACTGTTTGGGGTCTCTTGCCAGGATAATTTCGAATTCCTGTTCTTGGGAACCGCACATCCAAGGTTACAAGAAGCGAGCCTTTGTCACCTCGCTTGTGGCCACCATGGCCTGGCGACGCCTTTTGATGCGCCGGCTAGTTCCCAAGGCGCCCATCGTACAGGCAGTCAGCAGCATTGGCTTAAGCTTGCTGTACCTTGGATGAATCGAACTGGTGGAAGACCAAGAAAGGAAAAAGAGGAAAGGCCTAAAGAAAGAACAACATAAATAAAAAAACAACAAAATTACAATCAACAAATAAACACAAGTGAACAAAACAAATAAGATCCAACCCTCCATAGCCATCCCTAGCCTTGCTAGTGCCACGGTACTTGTAGCAAAGGATCATTGGAGAGCAAGTCTTGACATGTTTGTGAAGGTGATTGCTAACTTGACGGGCCCGCCTTGTTGGCAAAGGTTCCAACAGAGGATTTTGTTTCACTTACCTGCCAACTAAAGACAAACTTCTAGCATTAGGAATCCGTGTTCTGACGGGATGAATTGGAGAAGTCCGCTTGAAGAACAAAGGGACTGGGGATTCATGTCAGACTCGTAAACATTGTTTGCTTGGTGCTGGCCAACTCTGCAAATCAATCTGTAGCATCAAAGATTGTCAAGAGTGCAAAACAACAACGGCATAAAACCACCTTTTTGTGATGCCTTGAATCATGCATTTGGGCATATATCGCATATATCGCATTGCACCACTGCTTTTGTCTTCCCGCTTCGAGGACGACATATCTTGGACTCCTGCACTTTGGCCTTCCTGCTTCCATCTACGCTCGCCTCACCACAAGCCGTTGGTTGCGCGCTTTGCGGGAAAGGCTGCGTTGGCCGGGCGCGGCAGGACGATTGCTTCGGTGGCTTCTGCAGCTGCTGATGCCGCCACTTGGTCTCAGTTCATCGAAGTCATGTCCTGCTCAGCAGCGGCGGACGACGAAACCAGATCCTTCGCACCAACTCTTCATCTTGAAGTGTCTGTTTGGACGGTCCGATGTTGTTTGAAGAAACATGTGGACATGCTGGCCTTTAAGAGCCTTCCCTAAATTGGAATTATTTTTGTAGTTTTTGAGGCCCTTGCGCCGGCCCCTGATGATTTCCATTGGCCCTCAAGCGCCCACGGGCCAGAACTGAGCTGAACTGAGCAGCAGAACAGACTCTTAGATCCTTGCATTTCCTGGCCTGCGCTGGACGCGAGCAATAGTACGAGCTGTGCTTGCGACACGGTGTGCGGCAGCAAAACATTCGCGGCTGTATGCATGGTGTGTTTTGTTTATTTCTTTAAGCAACACCATTGGACACTAAGACTTCTAGGAAGAAACACAAGCCATTATTTTCAGATATTTTGGTCTATACACTCAAACGCATGTATACTTTGAAGGTGGAAAGCCTCACACTATAGGGAAAAATGGGTGTTACTGTAGCTCCATAGCTGTGAGTGACTTGAAGTGGCTAGAAGCATGTTTCTTTTGTTCAAGACATGTTTGTGAATGAGACCCAGTGAACGGGACCTTTTTTTTCCCCTCTGCCCTATGCCCTAACACTTTTGGGGGGTCCTTGCGTTTGCAGAATCAGACATGTCTGGGTGTCGCATTTCTGTGGTCCGGAGCGAGGACGTGAAACGAGGACGGAGGTGTGTCCCAGGTCCTGGTTTTAGAGGTGAGAAATGGCACTGGCACCCCAAAGAAATCCTTTATTAACCAGGACCTTCAAAGTGACCTTTTGAGATCTCAGAATGAGGTCACTTGGACCCTTGAGAGGCCACTTAGAGACGCCAAAGAGATCACTTTGAAGGTCCTGGAATACGGGGCTCCATACAAGCCAGGGGCCACTTGGGGATTGCACCATCTACTCTCTGAAACCACTCTACTCTCAACAGTCGATAAAAGAATAAAGATGTATTATATTTTTTTTGAGAAAGGCCTGCAACCTAACCATCATCAACTGTTACTGGTCGTGGGAGATACCCTTGCCAAAGTGAAACCATCAACACCATGTGTTTTGCAGAGCTTGTTTCCCATATGTTCCTGTGATGATCTCATGACCAGGAGTTCCATGTCATTTGGTGGGTTTTTAGACCCTCAACTCCAAGTGAGTGGATGTGAGACAAGGATCACCCTTACGGGGCCATTGGCTGAAAAACTCGGGTGCATCCCCCATGCACCGTTTTCATCCCCCATGCACTCATGGCTTTGCGAGTCCACCGTGCCAAAGATCTTCCAAGTTCATGGCGCCACAGATCGGGTCCAGTGTCCTTCGTTGTTCAGGTCATGTCCCCGTGGTTCTTTTTTGGTTATATCCGACCGACCCGTCCGTATGATGGTCCAGGTATGATCTCATCCTATGATCTGAGATAGTGCCTGGACCCGACTTCAAGTAGATCTGTCAGCAAAGTACTTTAGGTGCGAACGGGTCGGCTCCAGGTACGTGAGAATTGGACAGGATTGGACTGGTTTGGGTCGGCCCGTTCGTTGGTGAGAATGGAAAGAGGAAGCGGGCTATTTCCCCTGACCATCCCCCAAGAGGTCCCTCTAGATTTGGTCCATCACTCAGACAGACCTGGATCTTCCATTGACTGAAGTGCGACATGTTGGCGAACTTGGTTGGTTTTAGAGATGAAGCTTGGCAGACATTTGTCGTTGGTTGGAAAGTCCAGCTACATGACCATTTTTCCGGGGGGGTCTATCTTGGGTTCGCAAGGATTTCCAATTGGGTTCACAGCATCGACCCACAAATTGTACGTACATGAGTACCAAAGGTACTACCAAAGGTTAAAAGGTTGAACCTACATGTCATCTTTGTTTTCATACTGGTTTCTTGGTACACTATGTTCATGTCCTTGCTATGTCGGAGACCCCGCCCCCAAGCACGTTCCACGACGAGTTTTGCTCTCAGGTGTGTCTCAACGACTATGTCACCAAGGAAGTGAGACGAAGGGAGTCGTACCTGACGATTGGCACCAAAGGAGTTGTCCTGAAATCGGGTCACCCTGGTGTATCATTTGTAGGGATCCAAGTATAGGGATCCAACCCTCAGGTTCGGTACGAAAACGGACCCGACGTTTGGACACCGTCTCATGTCTCAGTGTCAAACACATCACCGTACCTGAGAAGGTATGACTGAATCGCCATGCCATCTCCTTTCATGTGAGTGGGTGTGTCTTCTCTTTCGAATACTTGCACTTCAAGCTACCCACAAGCACCATAAGTATCAAGTCGTATAAGTGCAGTGTTTTTGACCATTTGACCTGTAGGGCCCAGTTACCAAAGACTGCAATGGGAACCTCGCCGACGCCTTGGTAGAGTTCCTCATATCCTATGACCCACGAATCACACGGAACTGCTGGGAGCTGCGAACGTTTTGATCTTCCCAGACGCTCCTGGATCCTCATATGGAGTGACCAGACCAGACCCCGGACTGGAAGGGTCTGGGTTTTCTCACCAATCCCTATAGGTTTTGAGGGACCGGTTGGCCTCTGAACGGAGCGTTTGGGTTCAACCTTTACCTGGAATGGCTCATGCATGTTCATCCCAAATCCATCTCTCCTATCGACAAATTAAATTTAAAGCAAATCCTAGCTTCTAGCTGGCTTTGCTTTCAGCTCCCCTTCCATCGAAAGCCGCAAATCGCCCCAGAGCTCACCGCTCTCAGTACACCAACTTCCGACGCTTGTGCATCGAATGTTTGGAGCTGAGCCGTTTGGACTCTGGGACTCTGGAGGAGGGTGGAAAATAACTTTAAAATAACAATCCCTTGGGGGTTGGAAAATGTTCATTGACCCTTTCAAAGGTCAACCTAAATATGGTCAACCTTATACATGTACCTATGTTACATTGACCCTTTCAAACGTGTTTGAACCACTCCAATCATCCCCAATCTCTCTCTATTTAAAGGCTTATGCCTGACAGCCGGGCGCCGGCGCACTCGGGTAAGAGAGCGAGCCCTGCACTCTTCCATGGAGAAGACGGGGGCCGGGGTTTGGGGCACCCCGGCAGCACCCGTCCAAGGGACGGAGTCAGAGCGTCGCTCAACCGGAGGCTGCGGGGCTTGGATCGCTGTGGTGATCTGTGCCGGGTGGAACTGCAACGAGGTGGAGAATTTGCAGGAGGCATTTGTCGTGAAGCAGCTCTGCCAGACGCGGACGTGGAGCGAGTTCCTTTGGGTCTGCTCGGTGCACGCCAGCAAGAAGCGGGCATGGGCCAAAACGGCACAGGCCTTGGACTTGGCACCGCCGAAGTTGTTCCAGACGAACCGTGAGGACCACCCACAAGCTGCAGCCAACAAGGCACAGTTCACCCAAGGGCTGCAAAGACATTTTGTTGGAGACGCAGAGTGCGTCGAAGACATCAAGAGCTTGGGCGGGTCTGCGCTCCTCGCCCGCTATGAAAGCTTCCAGCAACCTGCCCATCGGGCGGACCTTTGGCGGTATATCCGCTTGTGGAAAGAGGGTGGAAGTTACTTTTCCACCGTGTCCAGGTTGTGAGGCTGCTAGGCCGACTTACCCGGACTACCACGCAAAGGTTAGGCCAGTGTGGGCATGCTTGAACTGTGTGGCAAAATCGTGTCCAAACTGTGGCCAATCCATGGACGCCACGGCAAAAGCAGACGAATGGTGTCAAGCCTGTGCCTATCCACCGTGTGACAAGTGTGGACGCCCTCGGCCGCAGGAAACACGGTATCACGCCAAAGTCCAACCACAATGGACATGCCAGGGCTGCGCAAACAAGCGCTGCTCGACTTGTGGCAAGTCTCTCAGTGCGCGAGCCAGCGCCGCAGCTCAATGCCTTGACTGTAGCTTCCCACCATGCAGTACAGGGTGTGGTGCCAAACGCCCATCCCAGAATAGCAAGTACCACGTTCGACAACTGCCAACTTGGATATGCCAAAACTGTCAAACCACAAACGCAGCTGCTCCACCTCATGATCATGACACGCAACTTGGAGCCGTACCCAAAAAAAGACGCATGAACTCGTGTGAAAAACCTGCCTGAGTGGCCCTGTGCGAAGTCTCGGCCGACAGCTTGCAGTCAGTGTGGCCAAGCCATGCACGGTACGGCAGCAGATGTTTGATAATCGTAGTCAACCACTTGTCCCTCCCGAGGTACTCGAAGAACTAGTTCCGTACTTTCAAACAGTTTCATGACCCTCATTTCCAACCTCCGGCCGTACTGCCCACTCGGGCATTGCACCCCCTCGCAGTGTCAGAGATCTCGCCGCAGAGTTTTGCCAAACAAACGAGAGATCTCGACGCAGAGTTCTGCCAAACAAAAGCTGCGAGCTAGTGGCCAGAGCGTCGCTCATACCAGCTACCCACAACCCTGCAGGTTTGAGGTCATCGTTGCTACTTGGGCGTCATCTTGTGCTGTCACCGCAAGTTTATGCGTGCGAAATGAACGAAGACTTCGTCGGCAGGGTAAGCCGATTATCCCGGCGAGTCGGATTTAGACTAGTAGATCTTCGAGTTTGTCAGAGAATCTTTATGAAGACTTATGGTTTGCTGCAAAAGCGGCAGCAAGGACGCGACACGCATCGAGGATTTCGGAAACGCAAGAGACAGATCGGCCTCCAGTTGTCCAATTTGTTGATCTAATTTTACTAGAACTACCTTATCTATACACTGATACTTCCATTCTCTTCCACACTAAGCTTCGGGCCGTGCAGTGAGAGGAACTGGTAGGCAGCTTGTTTTGCCCATTCATGGAATTCCCTGTGAGCTATCACAGAGAGACAAGCGGGGTGGGCCGCCTCCATTATGCCCTTTACGTGAAATTTTATCCCGGCAAGGGACCCAGTGTGTGTGTGTGTGTGTGTCTAGAAGGTGATAGTAGCGGAAAGTCTAGAAACCATAACGCATTGGGGTCCAGACAGGTGTGGTGCTGAAGGTGGCGATTGTGGTGATGGTGGCGGTGGTGGTGGTGAGTGAGTGAGTGAGTGAGTAAGTGAGTGAGTGAGTGAGTGAGTGAGTGAGGGAGGGAGGGAGGGAGGGAGGGGAGGGAGGGAGGGAGTGAGTGAGTGAGTGAGTGGAGTGAGTGAGTGAGCGAGTGAGTGGGCGAGTGAGTGGGACTAGGTGATGGTTTCAATATTTTTATTTTCACCTTAGTTGGGGATGACTGGACCCTCTGACTAATATTTTTCAAGTGGGTTGAAAACACCAACCAGGTGAGTGAGGTGAGTGAGTGAGTGAGTGAGGGAGTGAGGGAGTGAGGGAGTGAGGGAGGGAGGGAGGGAGTGAGTGAGT